AGGTTTCCCGTCCTTCTTCGTTGCGATGACGACCGGAAACGACCAAGGAGCTACAGAGGGGGTAATGATCCCTGCCTTCTGCATCTTCTCGATCTCCTCGCGCACTACCGCGTTGTGTCTCGGAGGGAGCCTCCGAACGGCGTGCGAAATGGGTCTGTCGTCATTTAACTCAAAAGAATGTGACACAGGGACATCTGCCGGCCTGAGGTCGTCCAAAGACCATGCAGCTATTCCCATACTCTTGATAGAACATATTATGCGGTCGGCGTTCTCTCTGCTGATATGGCTCAGCTTAGACATGAGAAGTTCCTCCTTCTCATCTCTTTTCTCTTTCTCATCTGCCGGCTCGTACTCTGAGCCTTCCTCAGCTAGGTCCGGAAGTCCAGCATGAGGATCTTCGTCCTCAGTGACTGCTCCCGCCCAGGCAAGGTCTGGTTCAAACGGCACCCTTTCACGCAGCGAAAGGACGAAGTCTTCATCCGTGTCAGTCGAGTCAGCCGGCACGGCCCCCGAGTCTGACGTGAAGTCCTCACTGTCGGTAGCGGATCCAGGCTTCTTATGGTTTTCATCCATCTCAAGACTTAGTCGAATCGTCTCCGCACCCACAGTTACTTGGACATGCTGTTGCCCCAAATCAATGCACGTTTGGAGCTCCTCTAACGACGGCATCCCCACGATGACGTCGTACGGTGTTCCCGTAACGACAAGGAAGTCCATCATGCTCACCAGTCCCCCAAACGAGACGGGGACCTGGCGCAGTGATCCAACACAAGGGGAGCTCTTCCCATCTGCCACAGTGATGTGTTTCTTCGTACTCTCTGGCGTCAGAGAAAGTCTCCTCATGAGGTGCGGCGACATGATGTTCGGCACCGCACCCGAATCCAGTAGTGCTTGAGCATCAGTTCCATAAACTTGAACAGTAACTACCCGAAGACGCCTCGGGAAGACATCCGTGTGGCCCGCAAACCCGCGAGAACGCCCTAATCTCCTGGATAGAAGGCGCTTCATCTCCTTCCTTGCTCCTTCAGCGTCTCCACGGACAAGTTGTCCAAATGTTAGACCAGACGGCGCATTCGCCAGCTCTGATACGACGTTATACTTGCCGACGTGCTCCTGGAGTGCCGCCTTCTTTGAAACATTCTTCTTCTTCTGGCGTGCAGGCTTCACTCTCGGCACTCTTAGCGACTCATTCCAGGGGAGAGTTCCCCTAGGAGCTACTGGAGTGGGATTCAGCAGCCTCGGGATCGAAACTTCTTCACGGTTCTTCGACTGCTTCGGCAAGGCCTCTCCTTCGGCGTTGCGTTTCGTAGCTGCCACCAATTCTCCCTTGGTGGTCTCAGTTATGACCGTGACTTGCTTTGAGTCTCTGGTGGCCTTGTCACCGGCGTCGTTGGCAGAACCGCCTGCTTTGGGGCCATAAGCGCTTCCTGCGCCAGCGTTACCTTGAGGACGTGCATGAGCCACATTCTTTCTAGCAAAGCGGGACCAGCAAGTCTCCGTCGTGTGTCCAATCTTCCCACACGTTGGGCAACGAGTATCACGGTGTGGGTTGGAACGACAACGAGTCGCTGAATGCCCTGGTTCCTTGCAATAGGAACATGTCCAACTCGTATCACTGTCCCCTGGCGTCTGTCGTTTCTTCATCATTAGTGACAGTTCCGCCAGCTGGTTGGTGATGGCGTCTACCTTGTTCTCCAGCTTTTCCTGTCGAGGATCCACATCAGAACGCACCAGTACGCGCTTGGGCGTCACAGGTTCAACGGACTGCGCAGCAGTTTTCGCCGCCTTGAAGGCGTCACGGCCTGCAGCAAAGTCCTTCACGGTCTTCATCAGTTCTTCGTACGTCGTCGGAGAACGATAGATCGCGAACTGAGCAACATCCAAATGTGCCATTACGGCATTGCGAAGCAAGCCGTACTTTGCCTCGTCGTTGAAACCAGCCCTTCTGTAGAGCTTGTCCATTTCATCCATCGAAGTAAGCAAGTTCTTACCATCCAGTCGGCAACTCATAGCCTTCTGGATGCTTTCTTCTGGCCTCGGTGCCTCCGTAAAACGGTCAGACAGGGCGCTCTTCACACCGTCCCAGTTACTGGCGGCCTCGGTCAGACTCCCATTATGACTATACGTTTCATAGTAATAGTCGAACGCGGCACCCTCGAGGTGGCATAGGATAGCTCCTGCCTTCTCCTCGTCAGGCTTGCCGCGCATAATGATGTTCTCGTATACGAACAGAAACTTGGAAACATCTGACCCGTTCGACCCATCGTAGGTAACAGGGTTAGGGCCCGCACTTGTGTCTGCGTCGGCCCTCCACAAGAGTACTATGTTGTCGGTGAAATGGGGGAGGCGGTTCTGGGGAGCGTGCCGTTCGTGGTGAGGGTTCGCCGAGTGTCGTCCCCCCTTCCCCGCAGCGCCCGTCACCCTCTCTCTTTTATTTCTACGAAATTCCTTCCAGAAGCGTCCACGCGTCCGGCCCGGATTCCGCCGGGCCGTACGCGTGCGCTTCTCTAAAATTCAAATAAAATCTCGGTCTACAGAATAAAATCTCCCTCTACAGTAAAATGCAAATATTTCCCTAAAAATATCTCACAGAATCTTCAGCATTTACCAGGACGTGGCGTTTCCTGAAAATTTGATTAAAAATCGACGCTTTTTTAGTGGTCACATATGACCACTAACCCCTAACAGGGCAGGGGATAGGCCAAGGCAAAGTCTTTCACACGTAGAGGGTTGCCAAGTTGGCGACTACAGTCCACTACAGTACGGTATATGCTCGACAGGTGTTGCGTCCTGAATTAAACCATGTCCGAAATTGACCCTCCGAGAAGGGTAATGCTCGGTGTTATAAAAAACGCTTGTTGGCCAAATGACGTGCACAAAAGGGGATGGAACAACTGCGATGGGCACTGCCTGCTGCGCAGAGTGAAGAATACTCGCCCATTTATGATGATCATTATGAAAAGTCCCACTTCTGCGATTGGTTCGCATTTGGAGAGATGATATCTCATGGCATGATGACGACGTGCGGAACCCAGCCACAATTCACATTTGACTTTGCGCGGGATGCACTCCGTGACGGTCAAGTTGTACGGGTATGGCAAAGAGTGTGAAGTTACTTGGTGCGGCTCGAGGGCGTTTGCCTGGAGTGGGCCGGCCGACTGCTGACACACTAGCAGTGCTGGTGCTCTTCGCACCAGGAGAGCACGCCTGCACAATCGAGATGCAAACGCGCTCCCATGCGTACCCATCGTCTTCGCCACCAACCAATGCTACATGGCGCATTTGCTCAACCTTTTGATCACTCGCACAATGGCGCGGTGCATGACGTGTGCCTGTGCAACAGGAGAGTCTCCGCACATGGGTACCGTTTGCATGTTGGTCCGTTAGTGTTGCTGACTTTGACGAGGACATTCTGCAAATGCGTGTCGCTGTGATGGGCACGTTGGCTGCCGTTGACAGCCAGGTGCTCATCGTTTACGTCAAAAACTACAGCTATCCTTGGGCAGGGAACTGCGCAAATTGCATTTGCCAACATATCTGATCATGCTTCGTATGTCCAACGCAAGATTTCAACATGCAGACTAGGGAGTCGCAGCGTTCCAATGTGATTTGGATAGTCTCGTGCACGTAGAACTGATCGACGACAGAATATTGTGCGGCCCTGTTTCGGGAATGACACCCGCCGAGGGCGGACTCTCAACCGTGAGCACACGGTTATGCACAAGACCGCCTCCGTCCTCAGTGTCGTGCGCGACCCCACCGCCCTAAACTGCCCTCCCCTTCTCCCCGTACACACTACACACCCATCCCTTCCATCGCATGTCGAGTTCCAGTTCCCTAGCCTCGAAAAGTCCCCACTGGTCCCGCACACCTATCTACGCCACCCCTCCTTCCCATCCTCAAAACGCCCTTCTAGAGAGGTTAATGCCAGCCGTTCGTCTCGATGGCGCACTCACAGTTCCACCTCATGTGGAGCACACCGCAATATACGCCACACACACACACACCGCCAACGTGCTGACGCAAGGAATGTCACTTAGAGGTCATGCGATGACAACACTGCTTGGCGGGCAAAATAGTGCGGAGGATCCGCTGGTACTTTACATGGTTCTCATGGGTGGACGCAGATAGCTGCGTAAATCAATTCATACTTAGCGGCAAGCGCCTCGAAGAGCGCGACGTCCCTTCAGGACGGACAGCGTTCATTCTAACGAAGAGGAACAGAGGGAAAAGGACATTTCCGAATGGATAGTGCTACGGGACTGCTCTCTGGAAGGTGATAAGTGTTGCCCTCAGAGCTTTGAGAGGTGAGTCGAAAGGCTGCTGAGGTGTACGCTTTCGGAAATGGGGAGGGAATTTAGGCGCAACTTGCCGTTGCTCATGTCAGCAACGGCAAATTGCTAGAGAAGCCTTTGGAATCCGAAGTTTGGATAGGCGGGGTCACGTCGGTGCTGATGTCAAACCGGATTTCCTCCAGTTGACAGTTTGAACTCTCTCTTAAATGGTTTGTTAAATACACAGATAATCCTGCCGCAGGATTATCTGTGCATTTAACAAACCAGGATTCCTGCGTACCATGCCGCTGGCGGAGCATGGAGAGGAGAAAAGCCCCTCATGAGCATATATCGTGTTTTTGCAGATCTCTCCGCTCAGAGAGATTGAGCAAAACGAATCCAAACTTGCTCCGCTCGTGTTCTCAACGGACGTGTCATTCTAATAGCTCTGAATGATCCCCGACATAAAAACATTCCCCAAGTCTCGGGTAACTTTAAGCGTGCTTGTGTGTAGTATGCCATCTGTAGGCGAAAAGATAAAGGGGTTCAAGTTCAGCTCGCATCATGCCTCACTTGTTTCATCAACCTACCCACTCCTGCACTAAAGGCCCCGCTGAACTTAGCAAACCAATGCTTGAAGAAAAGTACTTGCCTAGGTTTTTTTTACTTCGATGCAAATGAAACTTTCAGTGATGATCGTACCTAACAGTAAACAACAGTAAAACCTTACGACGTGATTTTAACTTGAGCCTTCACCTTCTTCAACGTATTGATGTCATTGACTTGGAGTATTTCATCTGACATCGACCACAGATTTGTCCTACCAATAATGGCGTTTCTCCTGATGTTTGGTGTGTACGATCTCTCAATATTGTGGGTCACCCGCCCACGCTCCTTAATCCTAGTATCGGAGATCTCCAGCACAACTGCTCCAGTGAAAGTGCGACTCCCTGTGTACACACTGATCGGCATCACAGCCACGCCTTGCTGCTTCCAGTAGAGGAAAGCCCGGTGGTCCCATTCTGCATTCGAATAACTACCCCTCAATGACCATACCGAAAGCTCCTTGGGGTTCTTCTTGTCACTCACATCAAACAATGAGACCTTGGCGCCCAGCAACATCCCAGTATTTGTTGCATCTTGTCCAACACCCAGAATACGGCCCGGTGCTACCGGATGCAAGTACGAACTGAAACCAGGGATCTTCAGTTCTCCCAACACCTTCAGTTTCTTCGGATTCGACAAATCGAGAACATACAATGGATCAACCTCCCGGAATGTTACGATGTAAGCCGTATCTCGGATATACCTCACGGAGAAAATCCGCTCCCCAAGTCCAAGATTCCCCACCTCACCGACCTTCTTCAACGTTTTAGTCTTCTCATTCGGCTCAAATGCCGTCACCTTACTTTCGGTCAAGTCTCGGTTACTCCACCAACTCGCGCCATCGGTGGTCGCAATGTAAAACGTTCCCTGGTATTCATGCATGGCAAACTGGTTGATCACGCTACCAGTCACAGCCCCGCTAGCAATGTAAGATGCGCCGTCGTCGGAAAGACCAAACTTGTGGATCGAGGTACGATAGTTGGCACCCCAGCGGACATTATCATCAGATAGGTCACCAAAGCGGAACTCACTGGTAGTAACATACATAGCCGACTTGGTTGCATATATCGTTTCCGCATCAGACATGACAGTGGCGGAACTGCCCGGAGTAAGCTTACCTCCAACAGGCAAGGTCACAACAGTAAGGAGATTGAATCCTGAAAACACCTTTGGAGAATAATACACCTCTCCACAGGTCGCATAGACTCCTGTTTGAACGCCGCCGTTCTGCTCCAGGCGATAGGTGGGCAGCCAATTACCAGCTCGAGAGTAGCGAATGATTTCACGGTTCCACTTCTGAGTCTGGTGGCGCTTGGCACCGCGACCCGGATAGTAGAGCCAGATTGAGTCGAGAGGGTTGAATGATAGGACTAATCGAGCGACACCCTCGACCTCTCGGGACTTGACGTAGCGACCTTCCAAGTAGAGAGTGGAGACGAGACGGGGTTCGGGGCGAGAGACATTGATTTGATAGACCACTGTGGCTGATTCGCCAGAGGATGGATCCGTTTTGTAACGGACATAGACAGGGCGTTTGTACTCGTAGACAGTGCCAATAACGAGGATATAATCCCCTTGAATAAGCATTTCTTCCGGATAGGTCGGCAGTTCCAATCTTCCGACACGTCTTCCAGATGCGCCGTCATCAAGTACCCTGACATGAGAGAAAGTCGTACCGGTAATGGTGAAGACTCTCTTTCCATCTGTCTTAATAATGTCAGGTTCATCGACTCCCCTTACTTGGACATTTGTGGTAGAAAAATCGGTGCCCGCAACAGGCCCATCAGCATCTTCATCTTCAGTATCGGTGTCAATCCCTTCGGTGATATTGTTGAACTTGACACGTTTGGGATCACGGAGTATACGACGGAAGGGAAGACCAGCTGGCCCTCCGGGACGCTTGGGATAAAACTTGCCGTTCTTTCTCGGGGGAGAGCGGGTGTTTGTGTATGCGTTTGACGAGGTCAGACCGTTAGGGCCGACCAGAGGCTCGACAACCCCGATGTAGTAGTCGTTGAGAGCCGTGCATGAGTCGAAGTTGGAGATAAGCTGCGAGTGGGCGGTTTGGAAAGAGAAAAGGACGGTAAGGAGCAGGAGGAGAGGGCCGATTTTGAAAGCCATGGTGCGATAATCGGTGGGATACGAATGAGTGGCGAGAACGATGGAGAGGGAGAGGTGCCTTTTATAGATATGTGGGTGGGGCTGAAGGGTTCGAAGTTTGGAAGACTTTTTCAACCTCGCAAAGTAGATGGAGTTAGTGACAAAGACGACGATACTCGTGTGCTTGTGCTGCATCTAAATCTATTCATCCGACACTGGATACTATCCAGTGTGTTGCATTGAAGCAATCTGCTCAGGGAGCTATCCACTGGATATCCACTGGATAGCTCCCTGAGCAGATTGTTTCAATGCAAGTCCCGGGAATAACGCTCAACTACACATAGCATGACCATTTTGATCCAAGATCTGACCAACTACACGTGGACAGTGTAACGCATGCAACCGATGCAAGGTGCGGTATTTAGCCGATATCAGCATCAACTTCACCTAGTAGTGTAACCGGCCAAAATTTCGACTTCTACTTGTAGCTGGAGCCAGCTAGGACCATCAGGGAAATTGCTTCGTTGGACTCTGGAGTTCAGAGTCTGAACGGACCTAAACCACCCTATACGCTCCTGAAGTTCGGAAAATGGGCTGATTCCGATTTTTTTTATGATTGCACGAGCATATGATTCATGTGACTCATATGCTCGTGCGAGCTGGCTACGAGCTTGTGTGCCTGTTCCCGTTCATGTGAACAGGAACAGGCTTAGTTTACAGTTTGAGACGAGAGGAGGCATAACGATGTTAACATCGAGATACGACTATCACTGTAGTTTCAAGAGCGTTGCTTACCCGGTTTGTAGTAAGCAGGTCAGACGTTGGCCCTTGCCAAATAAGTAGAATGTAGGGTTGTTGCATTACTACGAGGACACCGCTGCGCCTTTAAATAAATTGAAACATTTCGGCTGTCATAGATACGGTTACAAGTAATTTTTTTATGACATGCTAGAGTCACAATATCGCAGGTTATTCTGATACGAATCGTAATACGAATCGTAGCTGCACTCATAAATATGTTATTTTAACACTACAGGGGGGGGTCGCGATATAGTGCCATCTTTGTTAGTGCCAGCTCCGATATAGTGCTACCCATCTAGGGGTGGCACGAATTTTGAGCCAAAAACGAAGGGTCTCCAGAGAGGCAAGGCAGTTGGATGGACGTACTGCCCGAGAGCCGCTGCCGCCGCGGCAAGATATTATGCAGTTGCTTACTAGAATAGAGACTATGGCGGAAAAAGGCAGGGTCGATGATGCAATTGGACATCTGCAAAAGTGTAGGCTGGCATTTATGGCTGCGAAAAAGGAGGGAGTCAATGCGACGGCTCGGCAGCTACTAATAACAGAAATGCTTGATTAGACTTGAGTCTGTAGTGAAGATGCGAAGTATGAGTGATGGCGTCCTGCGAGCGGTCTTTCTGAGCAGTGATGCGCAAGGGAGTGACTGCAAAAAAGGCCGTAAATCTCATTATCTTACAGTGCCTGTTTCGATATAGTGCCGTTTTCGGCCCACTGACACAGGGTAGCACTATATCGCGACCCCCCCTCTGTATAGTGTTTTCCATAAAGTACTGCTTGGCACAGAAGTTACACATCTATCGAGCCATGCCTCGCACTGCTGGCATGCACTGCATGCAATAGTCCTTGATCTCGAGATCACTTATAGTGAACTCCCGATAAGCATCATTCTCGATATGGATATCCTCCGTTAACGAATAAAAAATCGAGCCACATAAGAGCAAGGCAACCAGTGCGCTAAATTTCGAAATTTTAGAGATTTTCCCCTGTTGGCATGTCAACTGGTGCGCTAATCGCTTTTTTCGGTTGCTATCTCGAAGCACGTATCTCTATATTCGTTTCTTTCCTGGCGCAGGATAGAAATGGATATAGCACGCGATCGCTCAGAATTCATCGATATTTCATAATCACTATAACCAATCATCTTTCGAGTGCTATATGCGCCGTGCTTCAGACCCCTTGTCTTGGCGAAAAACTTGGGAAAAACTAATACTCGGCCCCTTGCGGGCCGTCACATATGGCGACGCACTTGTTGTGTTGCGCACTCTTTAGAGCGCTGCATGGCTAAAAATGTGCGCTAATTTAACAGTGCGGAACATAATTTGACAGATGAGTTGCGCCGAGAATACAGGGAGCCGAAAAATGCCTTATCTTATGAACCATTTTGCCAATGAAAGCCGTTTCAACTTCTACAATATTTAAAGCAGACTCCACTACGTCTTACGTCACAAAATGCCATGTACGAGAACAGAATACCACAAGAGATATAAGCCTCGGCGCCATGTGCTCAAATCGCCAAATTTCGTCGATAACATACTTCGACAGCAACCTGCCTGGTAATGGCCCGCAAAACATTTCTATTTTATCTACTATGTACTGTACCCTTCAAGGAGGGTAGAAGAAATGTTTTAGATTTTTTGAGTGCACCTACAGTGCAATTTGAGATTTTTAGCATATTTGAGTGCACTGTGAACGCAAATTGATGTTACTGTTGGCCACACAATTTCCTATTGGTGGCACTTGGAGTGCACCCAGAGGGCGGCATGAGTGTATGACAGTTCTGCACTCATACCGCCCTCCGTGAATGCTATGTAACCTGGAGTGCGAGATGAGTGCATTGTGCATTTCATGCGGAATCGCATTGCGTAGCACAGTGGTAATGCACTCAATCTGAACGCAACTGGCGTCTCAGTCCATAATTTAGATGGAGTTTGTAGGGGAGGGGGTGGAATTCGGAGCTCGCTCGAAACGCGCTTCGCAGCAGGCGTATATGGCGCAACAATTGTGCCCCAGGCTCATCACGACCATCGTCCCAGCAAGTTTTTTCAAATGCCCCCCATCCTGCCAGTCCCTCCTCGGCTGATAAGCCACCGCGTGGCCCGTCTACTCGATCCCTCTCTCCCTGCCGACCACCACCAGCACCTTCGTCTTCCAAATTGGACAGGAGAGCCGAATCCTCTCGCCGCTCATCCTTCATGCGCTGCTCATCGAACGCCATGTTTGAGTACTCGATGGCCTACCAAATTATGTCATTGCACACATAATCTACTCGTCGTCACCAGAATTTTCCGTCTTCACTGCGACTCGGGTCGGTCCTATCACCTGCTTTCTGATCTTGCCCCGAATAACCGCTTTACCCGGGCGGCCCGACTTGCTCTACTTTGACATCTACTCATGCCTTTTTATATGACTGCCAAACGGTAGTTCGTGACTCGCGCCCGCAAGATTTGTTTGGTTTTCTGCCAGTTTTCTACCAGCTCGCATAAGCGGGGTGGGTGCGCAAAGAGCACGATTTGCGCAATTTTCTCATCTCTTTGTGCAATGGTCTTGTGATGACACACCGCTACAAATACACACTACCTTTTTTAACTGTACACTATCTGCGGGAGCCAAGGGCGAGGAAGGTTCCGTAGTGGTCACGACAGGCGGATTTGGAAAGGCGGTGGGGGGAGAACTGGTCGTAGATGGTGGACATGGCAAGTGGGAGGGTGGAACGATGGGGAGGTGATTAGATCAGTAAGCAGTGACGTTTCATCGCACAGCCTTCTTCACACTTGCCTAACATGGCCGAACAGCAAGGCTACTATCTATGGCAAGGACCTGACAACCCGTCCAAGAGCCGCTTGAGAGTTCTCAACAGTTTTACTGGCCAGAAAGAGCCATTTGTACCACGCGATGGCGGCAATAGGGTCTCTTGGTACATTTGCGACCCTGCTGTGTATGACTCTGCTCATGTAGGGCATGCCTCCAATTATGTCCGCTTTGATGTTGTTCCACGTATCTTGATTGATTATTTTGGTTACGACCTTATCGTTCAAATGAATGTCACAGACATCGATGACAAGATTACAAAAGAGCCACCGAGCACAATCTACCTTTTGAGGTATTGGCTCATGAATTGAAACCGAGTTCATGGAGGACATGGATAGCCTGAACGTCAAGCGACCGGATTTTCTCACACGCGACTCGTCTGAGTACATTCCCGAAGTAATTGATTACATTAAGCAAATCATCCAAAATGGCTTCGCCTACGAAGCGCTGGATCAGTTTACTTTGACACGGGTGCCTTCACTGATGCAGGACAAAACTACGGAAAACTTGAACCTGGCTCAGTCGGCAATCAATCGCTTATCGCAGAGGGTGAGGGAGCACTCACAGCTGCAGACGCGTGCATTAGATCTCAAACGAAGGCTCCAGGTGACTTTGTTCTTTGGAAGAAGAGCAAGAACGGCGAGCCCACGTGCGAATCGCCCTGGAGGCCAGGCCGTCCGGGGTGGCACATCGAGTGCTCAGCCATGGTCTCCAACGTCTTGGGACCTATAATTGATATCCACGCCGGAGGTGTCGATTTGCGTTTTCCGCATCACTCAAACGAAGTAGCTCAAGCCGAAGCGTATCAGAGCTCACACAATTACGACGCGGACGATGCCCCCGTTGTCTTGTCCCCTGGCAACGCCGTTATCGACCTCGTCAACCATCCCTCAGACGGTGGCCCCGTCGGCTACTCTGTTGCTACCTCTGCGGAGCCACCGACTTCCGTGACCCCCAACTCACAACACGCACCCACTGGCGCCCGGCCCCCTGTGGCGGCCAATGCCGGTTCTAGCACGACAGTCGCAGCCACGCCCGTTACGGCACAAGTTGAGGCAGCCGCGCAGCCAAGTGCTATTACCGCCGCAGACGAGAGTCGGCAGACCACGTCACAGCCACAGTCTGCGTTCCCGCCCAAAACGCAACTCCAAACGGCAGGGCAAGACATCCCCACCCAAGTTGTTGCTCCGCAATCCTACGCTCCCATCGCCAGCTCCATTCCTGTACCACATAAAGTCTCCTCGCAGCAACCGCTCTCCTTACGATTGCACCTACAAATACCGTCACCATCCCCAGTACCACAACTACCACAGAAACGTCTTGGTCAAGAGCCGCCGAATGCTCACCAGATACGAACCGGACCCAACTTGCCGCCCTTCTCCCGTTCCACACCCAACATTCCTCAAACGGCGTCTGGGCTGAGCCCGTCTCAGCTCCGGGCGCCTTCCCGAACGCACCCATCCCTCTGGCACCAACCAATCACGGGGGGCACGCAAGGATGAGAATCGCACAATTTGCCTGATCGCTAAAGTGAACATGCCGTGTGAGAGCCGAGCGTCACCTTTGAGCGTCGAGCTATCTGGAAGGGCGATACAATCTGGTCTATATTTGGGAGCAGCACATTCCTTCGCGCGACCACTACCTGTCACATCCTCAAATCCTGCGCCAGTCGACCACGCCGCTGCAGTTTCTCAGACAAATCATGCAATCCCCTCGTGGCATTCGAAGCCAACTCCCGTCCTAATACTTCCCGGCTCTCCGGCTGCCGTAGTAGAGACTTAGCACTCATTTGGTACTAAACTGGAACCCTTTTTGTACTTGAGCATTGCAATCGAACTGAAACAGAAGTATTTTGTCTTTAGAAGCACCACACCACAAGCACGAAATTAAGTACAGTAGTTGAATTATGTTTCGACCTTTGCAACTCTTTCGAACTCAAGTATGATAAAACATACATTACAGGTCCGAACACTCTCACGGCAAAAGTGCAAGGGCCGCTGAGGGCCGAAACTGTGGGAAAATAGCATTTGACGGTGACGTTTTACTGTAGAAAATAAATACATCTCAACGAAATTATTAAAATGCACTAAACGGTTGCATTTAATAATTTCAGGTGTCAAAGAAGGGTGCATCCTCTCCTACATGGATTTTGTGATAGTGCAAACCGTAACATAGAGAGAGAATCGAGAAGGAAGGGAGTAGTATAAATACAGAGGGAGTCGAGGCAGACTAGCTGCCGAAGGAAGTAAAAAAACAAAACTGCCGGTTAACCTTATTGTTCCCCCTTTTCTCTTATTTTTTGCGACAGTCTAGTCTTTAAGCTTAATAGTTTTCTTTACAGAAGAAAAACCCTCAACTCATCTTGGAAGTGCTCAACGTTTTTGGAATCGCTGTGAGAGTGGTCTCCCCCCTCTTCTTCGATATTAACGCAGTATGTTTTATCAATAAAGGGGAATAGCCCTCATCCTTTTAAGGGTAACTCTCACTAAATATATAAAAAGAGAGGGTTCTTTATTTTTTCGCTATCTCTAAATTAGGAATCTAGTTGCCTAACTAATTTCTATCTTAGTGGTAATAAATTCACATCCAGCCGAGGAATCCGGGCACCTCACGCTCGAACAGAAGAAATAGAAGACCCCCGCCTCGCCAAACGGTCTCTACCCCGCTCGCCTGAGGTTAGTTGGAATATCGACGAGGAGGACTCCATGTACGTATTGGACCTCGTCGAGCTCGAAGCGACCCCGGCGGACCAACCCCGGCCGGAGGACAAGGTTCTTGGAGAAGAAGAAATTTACGCCCCTAGTTCAGGATAAAATTTACACGTGGATAACGCCGAGAACATTTTTAATGAAATTAAGGCACGCTCTACCGAAACTAAGCAAATTCTACTAGTACTACCGGAAGGCGTTAATAGAACGCTGCATCGCGTGGTCACGTCTCCCATCGCGAAAAAGCGCGCTCCTACGCCACTGTTGACTTAGGGTATGCAACAACACAGTCATAGGCACGCACCAACTTCTTCAACATCAAGGCGGCAAGGAGCATCTCGCACGTCAAGCGAGATATCAGCGCGAGGCGGAAGACCACTACTGCGAAATCTGCGAGAGGCTTTTTCCCTCAGCGCACGACTTGGCAACCCACCTCATCGGCGCCAATCACTGCCGCCGAGTCTTATATTTGCGCGAGCGTAAATTGACGCGCGATAATTAGAATGTTTAGTAACCAGAAAGTGTTTGTTTATTGACAGGGTGGGCCTGAGCGGATAAGGAATCACCTTATTCGGCCAGGACCGCTCGTAAAGTAGACAAGGACCCCTAAAGTAGAATCCACTTAAGAGAGTGGCTGTTCGAACGTATGCAGAAGGTAGTGGGTGGGTGGGGAAGAGAGAGGCATGCCGTTCGCTGTCGGGCGCGAGCGCCGCCGGCGCAATTAAGGAGAGGGCACGCCGTTCGCTGTCGGGCGCGCTCGCCGCCGGTGCAATTAAGAAGAGGGCACCGCACGCGAGCGGCCCGGTCGGTCCCTATAGCGGACCACCACTGGCCTCGAATCGCTATGCGTAAGGAAATTATTTCATCTATGAAAACTGCCCTTTTCACACGACAAAAAATCGATTCACGTTTCAAAACATCTTTCGAAAATTGAGATACAAGTTTACAAAACATGTCCGAAAACATTTGTTTGCTAGCTTTGAAAAATCTAATTACATTTGTTGCTTTGTGCTGCAATTGGCACCCCCACGTGGTACACTACATTCGTATTGCACACCTCCCACACGTGTGAACTATAACACGTGTGGAAATAGAACACTTTTAGCACGTACAAGTAGGCTCCGTGCGCGCTTCACGCGCCGAGCCAAGTCCGCGTGGAGGAGCCTTCATCCTTCCCCGCCACCACTATCGTCACGTTTCTCACGCTCTCCCGCGCCGCAAACACCACGCCCGTCCATGTCACCGCCCGTCCATGTCACCGCCCGTCCATGCTCCTCCCCCGTCCACGCCCTCCCCCTGTCCACGCATTCCCATCCGTCCATACCCTCCCGCCCACTCGCGTTGTACACCAGGGTCGCCCCGCACTCCTCCTCCTCCTTTTCCGCCTCGCCGCTCTCGCACATCGCGCAATCCAGCAGCAGCTCACACTAGCCCCTGCCCCGTTCCAGTAGCGCGCCTCCCCGTCCGGCATGGGCGTCTCGCACATGCCCGCGCCGGGGCACTCGACGGGCCGAAGAGTGGCGGCCTACCCCGCGCGGGCGTCGTCGCGCCGGTGGCACGCGGCGCAGAAGTGGGTCCTGGCGAAGCAAACGTAGCGCGCTCGCGCAGCAGTAGCGGCACGCCTTTTTTGTCTCTCAATACCTTCCCGTCTGCGCTTCCGGTCTCTGTCACTCCTCGAATCGACTGCCATACTCATACAGACCTGTCCTCCAACACCCCCGCGGGGACCCAACGATATCGCCACGCACCCACCTCTTCACGCCCTTGGCCTGCTGTCTTCTTCTATGCTATACTCATCGAGTTGAAATTCTCTCCGAAGACTAAAGCGCCGGCAGAGGAACAAAGATGCAGCATGTTCGTCGTGATGAGCCTCAACAAATGCCCGTGCAACCATTGACCAATTTCTTCTGCAGTCGTTCCCAGCACCTTCCCGTGCATTCCAGCAGGGTCATCACAACCCACCAAGCCAGCCTCCAGCACAGCCCCGATCCCAACATCCCTACTCACCACAACCGCGCCTCCACTTCGCTTCCTCCTATCCCCTCATCCTATGTACATCCAGATGCCCACAACCTTCATGCCCCACAACATCAACTCCGGCCGAACTGCCCCTTATGCAGCATCGCGTAGCTCCCGTTCCAGTAGTACATCATCTCCCCCTTTCCCGTGGTCCATCACCTTCTCCCTCCCGTTCCCATGGTCCATCACATCCTCCTCCTGGGCCCCCGCATTGCACCATTCGGATCCCGCGCCGCCAGCCTAACGCGCGCGCGGAGGGCGGAGGCACGTCCACCGCATCGTCCGCGGCAGAGGAAGGCGCCGCCGCGGCTCTCGACTTGCGCCTCCGCGAGCGACGGTCCGTGGAAATGACGTCGCTATAAAAGGGGTGGATTGAAGGCGGAGTCGTTTGTGTCGCATGCAGAAAGGGGCGGACAGGTGAGGAAGGGCGGGCCAGTGCATGTAGACCCGTTTGAAAATAAAAAGCGCGGCAACCAAAAGTCTAGCCCGACACGTGTCAACCGAGACGGCCTGGCCGCAGGCTAGGCCGCCCTGCGGCCCCACCCCGCCTCCCACACGTGTCTCTGGTGGCGGCCCCGTCCCACTCTCTCCACGTGTTCCCGTAAGTCGAGACCAATGCGGCCACCGAAGGATTGGCCTTGCGCTTTGTTCGTTGTAAGGGCGAAGCACGTGCGAATGGGGAACTGCGTACGGGTGAAGCCAGGGATGGGAAAGTTGTCGTCTCCTGGTCCGCAGGGCATTCGAGGAAGACACAGTCTGTTGCCTTGGTGTGACCCGGTGGTAACGTGTAGAAAGAGCAGGTTGTTGGTCATGTTCTCGATGACATATCGCGCGCCGTTGACGTGACCGGTAGCGGGATCGAGATTGCGCAGAAGCATGACGATGAAGCCTTTCTTGAGCTTGAGCTTGTGGTCTGGTAGAGCAGATCCGGCGGTCAAGGTGTTGGGCATTTCTGTGGGATAGATCAGCGCGTTGGTGTCTTCGTTCTCGACCTTGTCTGCGCTCAAATACGTTCGATACGATCCCGGAATCATGTTGCCGATGACCTCGTTGACTTCCTCGAGCGGCCTGTTCTTTGTGGTGAGTATAACGCGCTTGGTGAGCCAGGCAGGGTCGGCGTGATTGTCTCGAATGCCTTGGAAGACCTTGAGGCATAAATTGCGGATGGTGTGCTCGAACGCAACGGACTGTGGTAGTGAGATCCATTCCGGGCGCTGTTCGCCTTGAAGTCTGCCTTCCCCGACGCTGAGGAGGAATTCTGGAAAGTTGAGAGCCTCCACATCTGCTGCAGGGTCCGCTCGGAGAGCAGCAAGGCGCATGTTCTCGGTAAGGCGCAGGAATCGGCACTCTCGATACAGCGGGGAAGCCTTGACGCACGCACTCACGATTTGACCTCTGGACCCGCCCGGAACGACGGGAAGGATTTGTCTAAAGTCTCCAGCGAGCACGAGGAACTTTCCTCCGAAGGGCCGGTCGGTTTGCATCAAGTCTCGAAGGGAGCGATCGACAGTCTCAATGCAATGTCGATGGCACATGACGATCTCGTCCCATATGATGAGATCGACTTGTTGCATTGTACGGCCTGTGTCGGAGTTTGCGGAGAAGCTGCACGTGCTTTCGGCAGATACAGGAATGGGAATCTTGAACACGGAATGAGCGGTGCGTCCACCGTCGATCAGCACAGCAGCAACAGCAGACGTAGCGACAGCGATGACCTGCTTACGGCGCGTACGAAGGAAGTCTTGAATGGCGCTGAGCACGAATGTTTTGCCTGTTCCGCCAGGAGCATCGAGGAAGAAGAGACGACCACTTCGTGTCGGCATAGAAGGTCCCGCAACGGCGCTTAAGGATCCTTGAAGCAATGCAGAGACGGATACGCCTAGAAGCAAGGAGCCCACTATTTCGTCAAAGGCATGACGTTGATTTGTGTTCAACAGCGGCAACGACGTCTGTAGTCGCCCTTCCCACTGCTGCGCTCGTGCTTCGGGGGTCTCGATCTCGTTTTGCTGTTCCAAAGCGGGCAGGCTGTCATCGGGCAGTGGGAGTCCGAAGTTTGCGAGCGTCCAGTCGGATCGCACGGTCTGCAGAGCCTCCTGTACCTCTCGAAGTACGTAAGATGTGGCGTGGTGATCATCGCGAAGATGCTGTCTTCGAATGGGTTGTCTGCGTGCACGATTGCGAATATCGGTGAGAAACATGTCCAGGTGGTCGTTCCACAGCGAGAGAGGGTCCGAAGGCTGGCAGTGTGCCAGAATCGTAGCAAACAGATGAGAAAGAGGAACGAAGCTTGACCGGAATGAATCTCGGATTGCGTGCTTCCACTCGGCATCGTCGGCCAGCAAACCGAGTCGTAAGCAAGCTTGTCGGAAGCTGGTGCACTGCTCGCCGTCGATATTTCGCAAGTTCTCGAAGGATGTTGCCCCTGGCACTTGTGTGAGGAGGAGGCGAAGAAAGTAGCGCTCACCCTCCCTCGGACTGACAGTGTAGATTCGACCGACTACGTTGGCACCTGTACCACTGAAATCGTAGGCTTCCTCTTCGCTGGTGGCGTTCCGTCTTCCCAGGGTTGCTCTTGGACTCCATGACTTGGTGCGTGTCTTCCACGTAAAGTACCTTGGAAACTTGTGGTACCGAAGATGCCTCGCGCTTGGGTACTTCTCGTTGGCTTTAAACCACTCGGTCAGCTTCGTACCTGATGCTGGTCGAAGCGCCGCCTCCTGCTCTCGCCCTTCCTCAAAGTATACTGTATGGTGGTTGGGCAGATGCACCGTAAGTCTGACCACTGGAGGATTGCGATCTACAATGTCAAAGGAGAATAACCTCCATGCGGCCTCCGATGCCGAAACGTATCTGGCATCTTGGAAGTTGGAGATCTCGTCGTGGCACTCGTTCTCGGCAGTGATTTCCATGGTCACTCGGTCTTGTCCCTTGCAAACATACTTGAAGAGGTACTTGATTCCGCCAACGCGTGACACGCAGAGTTCCACATTCAAATGGCAAGCGAATGATCGTAGAAGCAGAGGACTGTGGGGAACGACCCAGGAGTTGTCGACCACGACGGATTGCTGTCGTCGGCCAACACGGGAGGGTCGCTCGATGGAGACGCCACCTGCAGAGGGGGACCTTCTGCGGTACGTGATGTAGTACTCACTGTCGGACTGGCTGGTTTCGTGTTTGAACGATTTCGGAAACCCTTTCCTGCAGTACTGCTCGCCCATGCACACGGCTGTTGGATTGCGTTCTCCACATGGATTGTGAATCATATGCTTGAGCACGACCTCTTGGAGTTCTGGATCTTGGGCAGACGGGATCTCGGCAGAGATAATGCGGTCGACGTTTTCGGGAGTACGCAGATCATTCTTGGAGACTTCATCTAGGAAAAATACAACGTGAGCGTGGGGAAGACCGCGTTTTTGAAATTCGATGACTCGTACATGGGCAACGACGGTTCCGAATACTTCCTCGTTGATGACCAAGGAAATGAGATCTTTCATTTTCAGACGAAACACACGTGCGCACAGGTCCGGTCTGTCCTGAGGCGTTTGGTTCGGCAGTAGGGGTCTTGTGATCTCCGGCCAGCTTGGATTGCATGTCATAGTGAGGAAGATGTCCGGGTGGCCAATTTGGTTCGATATAGCAATGATGTCGTGCATCTGCTGCCTCATGTAGCGGTCACCTCCAATGTACGTGGAAGGGAGAATGAACAGTCGTCCCGCACGCACGGCATCGGCTTCATCTTCAGCACGACCGGAGTCTCCTAGGCTGTCGCGCAGTGAGGTGTAGTCGGCGGCTCGAAGCTGTGTCTGGTTGTGGCGGAGATACGAAAGCCTTTCTGCCTCCACTTTGCAGAACTGGTCAACCAAGTATTGCTGAAAGAGTCGCGCTGCGTGCAAGATTGTGCTGAACTCGCCTGCTCTTTCGAACAAATGCCATCCGTAGTACATCATCGGAGTAATCTTGGTACGTCTGCCGTCGTCATCACTGGAGAATCGAAGCTCTGGATACCATCCATCTCTACCGTTCGGGAACAAAAGCACGTAACTCAACGGATCGTATGCACGATGACTGACTGAAATCGGATCCAGCACTTCGTTCCCGTTACTGTTCAGAGTCCCTCGCCTGCGCACGACGATATCTCTTCGCCCAATCTCTCCGTCTTCATTTCCAGGGACCAATGCTGCCACTTCAGAAGCTTCGGGACCATTGTACCGGCGCACGTGCTCATGACTTGGCCTGCGGTCGGCATGGATGACCATCTGGTACGGGGCTGGAGTGTTGGGTTGAGGGGATTGAGCCCATTCTCGCATACTGAGAACAGTCTGCACGTAGGGGTTGCATTCGTGCAGCATGTGCGTCAGTTGCATTAACAGTGTGTCTTCCAGTCGTGTAGAGGCTCCGCCAAGCCTTGTGCGCGTTTGAGTACCGTAGTCAGTGTCGTGAATGTAAACGGAAGCAAAGGAAGGCGCCCGCCCCTCGGATGGCATCATGGGACCCATGTAATGGTACATCTCGCCCTGCATCGTCATTGTGGGGTTAAAATTGGAAGTACCGGGCCCTCTTTTCACCCATTTGGCGACCACGGACGCCATAGACAGCGCTGAATTGTATGCTCGAATGTTTTTACGGAAGCGGCGGGCCCTTGGAGTATCATCGATGAGAAGAGAGCGCAGAAGAGCTGGCGGGTCGGTGAGAAGGGGCAGTGACAGCTTCCCCTTCCCACAGCATGTGGAAAACATGGGCCTTGCGGCAGAGCTGCTCACGATGCGTTCTTGGACGAAATGCAGAGCTTTGCAGTGCGAACACTCAATATGGACCATGCCGAGATCGCGATACGAAAGCGAGGATTCGGGTAGTGGGGGGAAGAGCTGCCGAGAAGCCGTTCGAGCCTGGCCGTCGGATCGTTGCCGGGCATTCCGAGTCGGTGTGTCTTGTGCATCCCTTGATCGTTGGGTGGATAGACGGTCAAGGTCTCGCCGCGCCTCACGAGCAGGAGTAATTTCCTCGGCTCTAGGTCCTCGTGTCGCATTGCGATCCGCTTCGCGCCGTGCATCTCGGAGGGGGGTATTTTCTTCCGCTCTAGCTGCTTCTGTGGATCTTCGGTTTGAGTCTTGACGCTCATGTCTCTCTGGGGTTGTCGCGTCAGCTCTTCTCTGTTGCATTGAGACACGAGATGCCTCCAATCGAGTTATGCGGTCAGGAGTGCTCTCAGCCTGTCTCGTGCGTTGCATAGATGCTCGATTCGAGGCTCTGGCACGTTCCGTTGCTGCTCGGAGCTTTGGAGACTCTCTGGGACCCTCTGTCCGTGATTGACCGGCTCTGCGCGCCCTGGTTCTCTCCCTGTTTCGACGAAGACGCTCTTCGCGCTGCTCAGAAGTCTCTGCTGCTCTTCGTGCTGCAGTACGTTCCCGGGCGGTTTGGCGACGCGCTTGAGCCTCAGATTCGGTGTGTTGTCCCCTCCGGATTCTCGCCCGAGCTCGACCTGCCTCACGACGTGCTTGAGCTTCAGATTCCGACTCTTGCGCTCTCCTTGCCCTTGTACGCGCGTTTCTTTGCTGCCTTCTTGCTTCTGCTACGTCTTCATCTGCTGGTACCGCCATTTGTGTTATGCCCAGCGCGCTAGTGGTATCTCAGCAAGTGCAGCTAGGGTTGACGCAAGTGCGAGGGGTCCGTTGTAGATCGCTATGAGTCGTAGCAAGCAGTCCTCAAAGGTCTAAACGCAACGTCAGCCAGCTAGGTCGTCCGCGAGAGCACTTAGCAAAAGAAGTAACAGTAGGGCCTTTATTGTCTTGTACTATCCCGTGATCGATTGGAGCTTCCTCTTGTGCTTCTTGCCCGCCAGGTGTCGCCTAAAGTCGTGGGCACTTGCCACTGTGCACGTACACACCTCGCAGCGGAATGTGCGGCCCGCTTGAATCACTTGAGCCACGTGCCCCTCGGTATGCGCATGCCCGTCCCACAGTACCGCGCGCGTGCAATGAAAGTTGCAGATGTCACACGTGTACACGGGCACACTCCGCAACACAGCACTGACAGCTGGGAACGCGCGCGCACGCGGACGCTCGATTGCACGTTGCACACGTGCAGCTGGCAACGCGCGCGCACGCGGCCGCTCGATTGCACGTGGCACACGTAGCCCACGAAATGTAGGAATGATAGGCGGGGGCAAACGTATAACACGTGGGACCGGAGCGCGTGGTACACGTGGTGCGGGTGCTGGCGCAGGGGCGCGTAGGAGCCGTGGCACACGTGGGGGCGGCGCGCGCGGTACACGTGCGGCGGGCGCGCGCGGAGGAGCTGGTTGTAGGACTGTGACACGTGTGGTCGCTGGCGGGGAATCGCCGAAATCGAGGCGGATCGGGGTCGCGGCGCGGCGCGCGCGGCGTAGTTCTTCTCTCTCTTCTTGCGTAGACACTGCGTAAAAAAACACACACCGTCAAATGTCAGTAAGCGTTCGCGTGCGCTCTAATACCGCGGGCGGCAAGCCGGCCGTAGCAAAGAGGACAGTTAGTAACTTACTGATTTCGCGTAGACGGTGTGCGCCGGGATCGCTAGCGAACGCGAAGCGGATCGGGGCTGTATTATTATTTTTACTCTACTGTAGTGTTAAATTTAAATTCGTAAACTACTGTAGTGCCGCATTGGTGCCCGTGGTAGCCACGTGTCCCAGTGGCGGCCTGGCCTGCGGCCAGGCCGCCCCCAGTCCGCACAGTACACTTGTTACTGTAGTAAAAAATGAAATTAAATCACGGCCCCGCCGCTTTCTACACGTGTCCGCGTGGCCGCGTGGCCTGCGGCCAGGCCGCCCTGCACGTGGCCGCCACTTGTCGCCGCAGCGCCCCCGTGCGCCATGCGGCCAGGCCGCCCCGCACGTGGCCGCCACTTGTCGCCGCAGCGCCCCCGTGCGCCAATGAGAACCCGTGCGGGAGCGCACGAACACACATACACAAACACACAGACAGACAGACACGGAAATTAGCATTCGCGGGGATTTTTCGCGCACAAAATCGGATACTGTCGTGCACTGGGGTCGCGGCGTAACAGTACCAGCCCTCCCATTGAAATGATTTCATAAATTTAAATAACTAAATACTTTACAAACGGCTTTTGGATGCCGCTCTTCGAGAGCTGGTTCCAAACACCACTTCCCATCCATCCCAGCACCAATTACATTGCAGGCTTCGCCTGGAACCGCCGCCCAAACGCTTGAATTCGTGTGAAAAGAGATGTCGAAAAGCCCATGGGTCGGCCCCTCAAATGAAACAGGATATCTCACAGCCAATCAATTTTATCTCATACAGTACCGCATTTTGCTCTACAAACGCAGAAGCACGCATCAACCAAGTGTAGAGAACCCTCATCAGGCCGAATTCCTCATGCTCTGCTCCTTTCCAGCGACGTAACTCTCCTTTTTGCGCCCGCTGCCGTGCGAAAACGCGACGCTCCTTCATCGAGCGCGGTAGCTTGAAAGCCTGTTCATAAACGCGCACACGATAGTGTAAGGCATCCAGTTCAAATTGTATGCGCTGACGTCGCTTTGCCTCATACACCGTTAACCACTTCTGCTCTTGGCTACTCTTTTTTAGACTTTCCCGTGCCTTCTTCGCTCTCTCAAGAGCTTCCTTCTGTCTCACCATCTCTCTCAAGAGCTTCCTTCTGTCTCACCATGTTCATGGCAGCCTCACTAGTTAAATTTAAACCAGTACTGGTATCCGCAAACCCGCGCCGTAACAGAGGAACTTGTAAAAGCATACCCCTTCGAATACTACGTCTCTTCTCTACTAACAATGACGCCAATGACTCAACACTGGCCATTGTAGATGGTGCCCTTTCGAGACAGGACGGGGGACGGACAGCAAATCCCCGGCACCAATTGGATTAATTCCTGTCATCTCAAAGGCAGACAGCATGTTTTCCCTTGTAAACGCCCGTTCATACGCGTCACGCATAAAAATGCAAAGGTCAAAGAGGTCGTAATTGGTACCATCGACAGACTTGGCGGCAGCGGTAATACTCTTTCGCATCAAATGTTTAAAAGAATTAAACACTGAAACTTCCAAGGGCTGTGTAGTTGCACTTGTGTGTGACGGTAGCGCATACGCAATTATATTGTTCCTCTTCAGTATCTCATGGGCTTTTAAGCTCATGTGACTTCTATACCCATCATACAGTAAATTGACTTTCTGACCATGTCTCGTTTTCGATCGACATTCCAGACCAAAGTCGCTTGCCCATCTCTCGAAACCGAATTTGTCAACCCCTGCCACATCTTCGCGAGTAGAAATGTAGCTGCCGCTCGGCAAACAATCTGCGAAAGACTGAGTCGCACGCACACCATTAACGTGAACAATTCGGTAGGATAACGTCCGCGCCTGTACTACAAACAAAGTTCGCCCGCACCCGCCATCTGCAAACACAACAGGCATCATTGTCACACGGCCCACATTCTTGAAATGTGCCGATCTCATTTGATTCTTACCACCCATCGCCCGCATGCTTCTCCTGATTGCCACTTTTCCTGTGAGCTTTCCCTTCGTATCGCGATTAGGGGTGACTCCTGTTCCGCCGAGATTTGCTATGTGTGAAGGTAGGATATTGTTTGTCTTAGTAATGTGCTCAACCGACGCAATGTGTGTCGCCAAGGCTGTTGCGTTTGTGGCTGACCACCCCTCCGCTTCTTGCCGTGAAGGTCCCCCGATAAAAATCTTCTTCATAATTCGCTTCCTAAATCTTTTCACCCATTTTTCGCCTGGGCGACCATTAACGAAGCGAAGTGACGCACGACGTTCATGAGACATCATGGAGATGATGATCTCTGCGGCATCTTTAATCTCAGAAATGCTGAGCGGGTGACCTTTGTCCGAAGGCTGAAGACAGAGAGATACAATGGTTGCTTCTTCATTCTCTGTAAATTGGGTGCGAAGGAATGTGGGCTGGTGGTTGAGTTTTTTATTACGGTTGATCGATGGTGGTATTTGTAGTAGAACGTGCTACGAGCCATGCCCACACGTCCCGCCCCGTCTGCGAGTAACAAGCCAGTCTCGAAGGCATCTAAAGCATTAAGCAAAGCCTGAAGTTGTCGTTGGGCGGAAGCCTGAGAGGGAGCCATGGTAAGCAGGGGTTTTTATGTCTCTTGGGGAGACCGTGGACGTAGGGATGGGGATGAAAATGTAGTGCAATGTGCCTGGCAGGTCGCGAACACAGTCCGACGGTCAAACAAAAAGAAGAAAAACAGCAACAGAAACAACCACTGCCAATGACACGCACTACGGAGCGTTCGAGACTCCCTTTCCCCTTGTGTGAGCTTGCGGCCCACGGTAGCTCCACTCCGACGGGGGTGTTAAGGAAAGATGCCCGGCCCGGGAGGATAATGGTGGTAGAGGCTTGTGAAGACTTCAGTGCTCGGCGAGTGCGGGTTGGGCTTGTGTACGAGAATGTAACCGCGGTTCGCTGGGTTGTAAGGCCAATGCTCGACGAGCGTCTTCAGCCCCTTGCGTATCATTCAAGGTCTTCGACGGTGGCTCGATTAGCACTACCCCACGGGAACGTAACTGTGTAGCAACGCTACGACCAACGTGTTGCTCGATGGCAAAACACCGACACCAATGCGATCGCAATCGCGGTTGGTGGTACCAACACTGTCTTGTATGAGAAGACCTTCGAAGGAGGCGTCGTTGCAACAGCCTTCCGACGGAACAGGACACCTTAGCAGCGCTACCACCTACGCGCAGCCCGATGGGAATCACACCCACACCGGATCGGTCGCGACCGACTCCAATGGAACCAACACAAGTAAGGGAAAAATAGAGGTGGAGAAAGAAAAGGATAGGAATTAGAGATAGAAAAGGGTAAAAGGATAAGGAAAGGGGACCCCGCGCAATAGAGGATGTCGTTAGCAGTGCAGAAGTGAAGCACGTCGCGTGAACGGAAGCGGTCTTCGACGAAGGCGAGATCTAACTCCGGCAACTCGGGTTACCTTTACTGACTTGGTGGTCAGCGGGCTAAGGTATATATTGCCTAGCCGGAGCAACTACAGTAGCTTGCGGCGCTAGATCCCAGATCGAATCTAATGTCAGCAAAATTAATGCCAACTAATTAACTAAATTAAATAATTAAAAATTAAAACTGTGCAATTATTCACACGTGTGTCCCCCAACCCGGA